TATTTATAGGTAGATTATTCTGAAATATAAAAATTTATTGATTCAAATTCAAAATTAATTATTATAAATTACGTTCACTATTTTTTTACTTGATATGACTTGCCTTCTAATTCTTGAATTTATTATAATATCTATCAAAGATTTGATTTCAATTATATTCTAATAATCTTTTATTAGCCTGGTATTATTGTAATTCCTATTTTAAGTAATAAATAAATATCTTATAAATAAGAACATATTTGAGTTTTGATTATTCATCTCATATCAGACTTGTATTAAATCACAAACACCCTCACAAATTATATCTTTATTAGCTATTATTAAAATCTCAAGTAAGTTGATTAACATAATTCTGCAAGGTATCTCATTCTGATATTAGTTGATTAACATAGTTTTGCAAGATATCTCACTCTGATATAAGTTAATTAACATAATTTTGTAAGATATCTCACTTCTAAATAAGCTGATTAACTTAATTCTGGAAATTAATATTTTGTTTTCTAAAATAATTGACATCTTGTTGCAATTGCAATACTTGATTATTCTAATCATCTCATTGGACTATAATATCATTTATATCCTGATATACATTTTGATAATTAAGACAGATAGCATTCAAAAAGCCTCTAATACCATTTATAATATTGATAGGATTATTTAATAGAATATCAACATCTCAGATATGATTTTCAATTCAAGTTAAGCCTCAATCAATTTGTATAAAAAGATCAAAATTCATCATATCTGTATCTTTTTCTGAATTATATAAACTTGAAGAGCTTCTTTTCAAAGAAATAACTTTGAATCTATGTTTTAAATTTTGAATCCACTCTTCTGATTCTTGTAATAGTTTCTCTATATTATTAATATAGGATAACTTATTTAGATATTCTTTTTAGCTTGATATAAGCTTCTTTTAAGAGATGATATCTCTGATTTCAACTCTGATTTTTCTTCTTTCAAAATATTCTCAAGCAGTTCCAATTCTTTATTAAGAGATTGGATTTCTTTCTTACATCTGATATATTTACGTTTCAAATCCTTTATATATATTTCATTCAATTTATTGATGATTACTTTTGATTCTAATATCTTCTGGAGTTCTTGATTAACTCATTCTAACTCAGATTCATGCTCAAAGGCTGGCCCATGAGATATTCAATTAGGATGTAATCAATGAAATATCATGATTATTTTTTATGACATATTATATTAACTTATTCTAACTTTGTCAAAATAAGTAACTCTAGTATTGTTATAGATCCTAATGAAGCTCAAGATATTGAAAAAAATCTCATATTATATAATATATACTATCACCCAACTGGATATTACTCTAATGCAAAAACATTAAGAGATGTATGTAAAAAAGAAGGATATAACTTTAAGCTTTCTGCGATTAAAAAATGGTTGCATAACCAGAGTATCTGGCAAATATATTCTCCTTCTCCTAAATATATTTCTAGAGTGAGTTATGAAAAAATTAGCAAACCAAATTGTGTACATATGTGTGACCTTCTATTTCTTACTCATGACCATTACAAAGGTAAAAAATGGATAGCAGTATTAAATATAATAGATGTGGGTAGCCGGTTTAAAGCTTCAGTTCCACTTACATCAAAAAAATCTAGTGAAGTTGCTGAAGCCTTCAGGAAAATCTATGATGATCCATCAAATCCGTTAACCTGGCCTAAATTACTAATCGTTGATGGTGGTCATGAACATATGGGTGAGACAAGTCAAATAATAAAAGAGCATGATGTAATAATCTGAGTGATTGGTGTATATAGTCATCGAGGACTTGCAATTATAGACAGATTTTGTAAAACGCTTGCAGAAATGTTATATAAGATCCAATATGCTGTGGAATCAATATCTGAAAATCCTAAATTAATAAGAGAGTGGGTTAAGTATTTGCCAGAAGTTATCGATTACTTAAATAACTATCCAACGCGTCTCATTTGAGCTCCAGGTTCATCAAAATGGAGTTTAGCTCCAGTAAAAGCTATCAAACTGGAATGAGTAGAATCTAGGCAATCCACAAAGTATAAGCACCCTGTTGGAAAAAATGAGGAAAATAAGTTAAAAAAGGGGGATAGTGTTCGTTATTTATTAGCCAATGGGGAATGGGAAGGATCACCAGGTTTAGAACAAAAACGAGTCACGGATCCAGTATGGAGTATAAAATCTGCAAAATCGTAGTAATGAAAAACGAACCCGTGCTCTACTATCTCGGAAGTGATGGCGATGAGTATCCTCCGAAAAGGGCATTTGTGCGTGAGGAATTAATGCATCTGACTCATGACCCAGATCTTCCACTCCAAAGTATATTGGAAGAAAATACTCGTTCCAGGTCTGTTAATTTCGTTCGTGCTGTTAATAAAATGGCTAAGGCCCAAGCTTATGCAGAGAAGCGAAATGGGAAGTGTCTTGGCAAAACTAGTAATATAAATGGATTCGATGTATACCTCTGGTCTTGCGAAAAAGGACTCCATCAATGGGAAGCACCTTATAGGACCCAGAAGCAGAAATTCGAGTGATGTCCAGTTTGTCCACATACAACCGAGAGAAGTGTAAGATATATATTTGAAGATTTATTAGGCAAGAAATTTCCACCATGTTCAGCCTCATTTTTGAAAAAATTACGACTTGATGGATATAATGAGGAACTAAAACTAGCTTTTGAATTTCAAGGTATCCAACACTATCATCGCAATAGTTTATATCACAAAAATCAAAATGATCTAGATGATCAAAGGAAGCGCGACCAAAAAAAGCGGGAAATATGTAAAAAGCAAGATGTATGTCTTATTGAAGTTCCGTTCGACTGTGATTTGCTTCCCTACATTCATACCATATTGATCGAAAAAGGATATCTACCCAATACAGATATTAAATAATTACAGTTAAGGAATAAGACCCAATTCTCGAAGGATATCTGGAATTTTCTCGAATGGGTCTTCATAATACCAAACATATCTTAATGCTATCCAATTTTCTTCGCAAAGTTCTTCCTTGAGTTGATCCCGTTCCTGCTGTTTAATAAAATTATTAGGATCTCCTCTATGAAAGAATTCAATATATTTTTCATGTTGCATTCCTTGGACTTCAATTGCAAAGCCATATTGTGGATAGTATATATCGAGCTCTAACCCCTTTGGATGTTCCAGTGTTTTTAAGAATTTAGGCCTACGAATTTTTGATGATGACGATCCAAGATATTTTGTTAAGATTTTACGACATAAATTTTCTCGTTTATACTTACTACAATATGGGCACCATGAATTTCTATTTATAATATTACTAAACTGTACATACCATTGATGTTGTTTTTTACAACTCTATAATAATGAAGATTTAGAATTCTTGTATTCTGTTGAGAGGCATTTACCACCTCGGGTGAGAGCAATTCGTTTGACATCTTCAAGAGTATGTTTTGCCATACCTGCGCAATATGGACACCATGTATCGGAATGTTTTATACTGCTAAGTGGGGACCACCATTGATGGTTATATTGACAGGCCCATAAAAGCGGTGTATGTAAATTTTTATATTCTGTTGAAATACATTGACCTTGTTTTGATAGTGCAATTCACTTAGCGATTTCAATATTAAGTTTTGCAGTACCACCACAGTATCGACACCAGTGACCTTTTAGAATGCTTTTCGGAGGTGCTTCCCATGTATGGAAATTCTTGCAACGCCATCGAAGCTTTGTATGTGCATCGTAATATTTATCTGAAAGACATTCACCATTGTGTTTTTCTGCCAAAATTTTCATATCAGATATAGTCCGATTTCGTCCACCACAGGTAGGACACCATTGATCATAATCTTTTATTTTATTTAAGCTTGCAGTCCATATGTGTGCATTACTGCACTTCCACTGCAAAGGGCTTTTATTATCCAAATACATTGAAGATAGACATTCTCCGTTTCTGGTACGTGCTAATGCTTTTGCAATTTCTAAAGATAATTTAATATACATATTTATATTATTTATATGTTTTCACCTTAATACCAAATAACGTATTCGGAATAAAATTTTAAGATATAATTGATATAATTCTACATGGAGTATTTTGTATATAATATAGATGAGATACCCAAAAAATCTCTAGAACAAATGAAAGGCAATAAGTATTCACCTGACTGGCCATTCAGATTATTAGTTTCTGGCGGATCCCACAGCGGAAAAACAAATATGATCATAAATCTTATTCTTGGTAACAAACTCCAGCATATGTTTAAGGGGAAGTAGGGGGATAGATATATCAAAAATAATGATCTTGTATTAGTAGGGAAACATCAATGCGAGCCAAAATGGATATTTGTAAAGAATAGTTACCGGATTTTTGCAAATGCTCCAAAACCATATAGAGAAGATATCACATTTAAAACAATAGCACCAGATAAAATCCCTGATATAACTAAATTCTCGCCAGAAAGAAGTACAGTTGTTGTTTTCGAAGATTTATGTGCCGAACCAAAGAAAGTGCAAGAACGAATTATTCCTTACTTTATTAGTGGCCGGCATCAAAATATCTCACCCATATATGTGTCGCAGAAATATACACAAACACCTAAAATTATTCGTGAAAATTTGAGCCATCTTGCGCTATTTAACAATGGAGGAAGTAAAGAAGATCTCATTCGAATTTTGCGTCAGTTTGTAGATGATCCCAAAAAAGCATCCAAGATTATTGATAAGCATCTACGAAATCGAAATTTTATAGTTTTTGATTTCACTAAACCAACTGATGACCCTTTAAGTATACGTCTTGGCTGGGATACTCCTTTGAAATTAAATGAATAGAATAGGATTGAAAAGATTAAAAATATTTCTTCTCAATGTCACCAAAACTCTCACTAAACGATGCTTATACTATTGCAAAATCTCGTGCTGGTCTATGTCTTTCAACCGAATACAAAGATAATAAAACCCCATTAGTATGGCGCTGTTCTAAAAATCATACATGGAGTGCCTCACTTCGTAGAGTTACTGTTCATAGTCCATGTCTTTAGCAAATTCAAAAAGGATGTCTTCCACTATCCTGCCTGTGCTCAACTGCAACTTTGTAGAGTTTGGGATAGCATAATAGGTCTTACAAAAAGCCGTCTTGTCAATTTTTGGGAGATCCTTCCCATTTATATTGTCCTCAGATGCATCGGTATCAGAAGCCGATTCTTCAGTGTCGCTTGTATTACAAAGGAAATAAAATTATAGTCTAAGAAGAATTGAAGAATATCATTCAAAGGATAATCATATATACCTTTCGAATCGTCATCGTCAGATACGGAAGGAGAGTTCTGCGATTCATATTCGACCTAGAAAGGAATCACATCAATTAGAAATTGGCGATGAATATTATCAATTCACTTATTGCGAAGGTCATACTTTAACCTCTTCATCGAATGTTTTTTTGGAGTCATCACTTATATTTCCTGAGTCGTCACTTAATTCCCGAAGTTTCTCAATAAATTTTGTTACCTTTACGCCAGAGGGATCTTTGAAGAAGGCGCTGATATTGTCAACTGGATCCTGTAGAAATACAATCAATATCAGGAATATGGCACAAAAATATTAGCAATAACGTTTAATATCTTTACTCATACCTGTGCCTTTTTCTGATCCTTTTCTGATGATCCGGAAATGAAAGTTTCAGAGTTTATAATCCCACTAACAGTCCCTCCTCCTATAAACGTTGGATGGTGGACGTGAACTGAAGGTTCGGCTGATTTATTCTTATAAGAACGTTCTTTATCCCAACTTCTTGCTAATTGACGATCTGGCCGAGTACCCTGAATGAAAAAATTTTCAGAAAATTAATAATGTTCTCTAATAACATGTCCTATCTATTTTTTCTTCCTGCCAGGTCGGCTCGAAGCCTTGAACATAAGACGACCTCGTAAGTCGTATATGCCCCAGCAGGGCCAGTGTCAGATCGGCTCGTAACCTTGAACGTAAGACGACCTCGTAAGTCGTATACGCTCCAACACTGGCTTCGTGACTCGGCTCGGAACCTTGAACGTCAGAGGATCTCGTAAATCCTAGACGCGTCACCTATTCTCTATCTACATTTTCAAAGAAAAGATATACTCGCCTTCGTATACCTGTCGAGTAGTTCCTGTGCTTTTTCACGCCTGCGATCAGTCTCGCGATTAGCAATGGTTTTAAGACACCTAACATAACAATCTGTCTTCTGTCCGAGTGGTTCTAAATCACACTTATCCAAAAAATCGCGAATATTCCATTGGGAATATGCGGTATCGAAATATTCGTGTATTTTATTTGACATAGTCTTTCGCGCAAATAGAACGTATTTTTCTGAATTTATTTCAAGAGCAGTAATCATGTGAGAGGACACGTTCATGTGACTAGAAGTTGGAAAGTGCAGATCAAAGCTTTGTGTGACTCTAACAATGAAAATCTTGATGTTCTTTGAAACAATATGAAAAAAATAATTGGATTAATCCTGGGTTATTAAAAGACAGAATAAAAACAAGCAAAGCAAGAAACATCATGTGCCTGAGTACAGGTTGAAATAGTATCTTGAATTTGAGTTTTCTGATTAGTTATGATTATATATATCTTGACATTAGTTTTACTATTATATGATAAATTTTTCAAGTGATTCTATAATTTGGATTTGTTTTTTACACTTCCGGTTTAATCCATATATCTCTAATATACAGTGTGATTCAAAATTATTTGGAAAAGTAAATCTATTATTACTTCACAACCACTGAACCAATTATAATAAAAATACATTCATTTGAAAGATAAAAACATGTAATTTTTTTATTTAAAAAAA